GACACACGCCATCACCGGCAAATCTGTTGTACTGTTCTCTGTACTCGTTGGAGACCAGAACTTAAAATCATCCTTGGTGCAATCTCTTTCGAATACATTCCGCAAGTCAACTTTAATTATCAACCATTGATGCTGTCCGCTGTCTGAACCAAACATCGTAAACACCGTCGTGTTTTCTCCAGGTTCGGTCATTAATCCGTATACCCGTAACATTTTTTCATTAAACTTGTACGATTGCCAGGTTTCACCTTCGTCGACAGAATAAGAAAGATCGCTCGTCTCGCCGCGTGACTTGAAATACTTGACAGCTACCAAAAGACCGCCATGATCACCCATATTAAAGAAATAATAGTCCTTAAGGACTTGTTTCCACGTAAGTCCAGCATCTCTGGACACGTAAAGAGCAGGATGACCTTTAAGATTTGGTCCTATTACTCCGGTAGCCATTATAATACCAGGAGCGGACTTGGAACTCATAATCGACACTGATCTTGTCACGGGATACAACTGACTGAAACGTTGACTCAGGTGCAATGAACACGATTCTGAACAGTGAATATAGAACCCTTCGTGATTCGCTAGTGGTGGTTTGATGCGATTCCATGTTGCTCCATGGTCGAATGTTATCAACGATACTAGATTCTCTGGTCCGATAGAGCCTGATTTCGGTGTTCCTTTTACTTGCGATGCTATGTAAATACCACGAAGACCTTCAACCTTATACAAGTCTGTAAATGCCTCATCGGCTACATCGCTAAAAGAAGAAAATAAAAGTACAGATATTAATTGATCGGTAACGCTAATAAACAATATTCCAAAATTATTGAGACGTTCGCGATAAAGTTATACACCCGACTACTTTGCGTATCGCATACTTACTTTAACCAACTGTCTTTCCAAGTGTTGTTCGGGAAAAATGTAAGAATTCCATCAAGAGATAATACGAATGTTGCCTGCTTCTGATCTATGACTTCTGATATATAAAGATTGACTTGGGTTTCACTGTGAGCAGCCGCAACAAAGACTCTATTATGTGAAACATCGACGATGTGATAATTTTTACAAGGTAACTCTGTATTGAATTCAGCCTTAATAAAGCTATTATTCTTGTAAGACACGTAAAGATCTAAGCTTTCCGATCCATTCTGTTGAAACAAGTTTTGTTTATTTGTATCCGCTTATACCGAATATCATTATTTCTAACAATTTAACGTGAACACAATGAAACATGTATCGCGTACCTTTGTATTCTTCGATGTTGCAAATCTATAGTCGCCTCTAATTTGGAAATCTTCAACATTTGTCATTACAACTGTAAATGATCTATTGAACATTCTCATTTCCGATCGATAGCGAGACATTGGATACCATAGTTGCAACAAAGGTAATTCCAAAACAGTATTCGATCCAGAAGGTTCTATACGTTCGACGACTAAAGTAGATGTAGAGGACCAAAAGAATGCTTTCACATAATGGTACAATGTCACCCATGAGAGTCCCATATTTACCGATACCCATAACTGAATTAAAATAGTAATATTAATGCGATAACAACGCACAGATGATATGTAAAATTAAAGACCGAGAAACTTACTCTGCGCATACTATCGACTTTGTCGAGAGCGACAAGAAATGTAGGATTCATTTCGTAAAATGAAATTTCGCTTGGATGGAATGGTACTGCCACTCGTAGAATAAATTCGCTATTGTTACGCGTAATGAAAATTAAACTATTTGAACTGTCTACAAAGACACACTGTAAAACACAATACATTATGAAAATAAAAAGGACAACTAATGGAAGAGAAAAGAACCATAATCAAATATATACTTACATATTTGTAATATTTTGGATGATTGATAAACTTGTCCAAAGTTGCATACGATGCATTAGGTTCAGAAGAAATCTTAAACTCTTCAGTTTTGTTCACGAATGTATCGCCATAATCGTAACTTATATATACAGCGCTAGGATTGGTGGGTACCGGAACCTTACTTCCTTGAAGTCGTATCGTAGGTGCGCTATCTCTTGCCAGACATATTATTACATTAGATCCTTCACCTACCCAATGCACCATCAATTGTTGATGCGAATCATTCAAAGCATTAACCTGCAAACATTATAAGTATAAGTACATATCTCGTTGCTTATATTATAAGCAATTTTAAATAAAGTGTTGCCTATCTCTCTTTCAAGAATCCTTTTTTATAAGTAATAAAAGTTATCAAATAATATCAATCATAATAAAGATAAGGATAAACTGATAATACACACACATATACCAGGGGTATATGAAAATACAGGACAAACATTACAGGGCATACTTATTATTCATTTTTGAATGTATCGATATACATGTAGTTTACATTATCATACTGTAGTTTATTTTGGATACTGCTGACACATTCTACTTCTTTGTTATCAGCTGTGTGTATTTTCATACATGTAAAATTTAACACTTGATTGTGTTGTGACAGGCACCTATGACTAATTATCACGTTTCAATGCATCATCAAAACATTATACACATACATCATTTATTAATACAAATGCAATTTACTAACACAGAGTAAGTTGCATCGTTTTTCTTTACTTGTCTATTGTATGATTAACAAAGAAGAAAATCATGTTAAAAATTTTAAAATATCATTTCTAATTGATAACAAACTAATTTGTTTATGTACTCCTATAATTAGCTCAATTATTTTTTATGTATGTAGATATTATTAGAAACGTAAAATATTTGTTAATTATAACAAAGACTAATATTTATCCAATTCATGCGTCATAGAAAGATCCAACCAATGCACGAGGATTCCGCGATCAATGAAAGCTTTATTCGTCGGACGAACTCACAAAGAAAAAAAACAAAAAAAAATAAATAAATAAATAAAAATCCTATTGAAAAATTACGGAGACACGGAGAGCGGTTACTGACCTCTGCATGTCAATAACAGAACGACTATGATGCTATTACGTTTCGTTAGGATTGATTAAATTTAGTCCGGAAGGGACATAAAACGGCAATTACGCTCTCCACTGGTTGGCGCACAAAGGCAGTACTTGTACGCCGGCCTTATTAACTACGCGTAAAATTCTAAAATCGCCCCTATCGGTGAACAATACGTCCACCAAGATAAGACAACAAAGATAAAGCAAATTATATGGGGAAACGAGTTAATGGCATTTCTAGTCGTCGCGCACAATCAAACAAGTTGAATTGTACGTAATACGCAGAAAGATGATCGCGTACCTTCGTCACGATGTTCGGTTTATTATTTGAATTCATTGAAGGGACATCCCTGCGGTTACGACCAAATGACGTTTCGCTGGCATCATCCAAAAAATCTTCATTCCGGTTGATGATAAGTGGCCGTTTGTATCCAAACGAGTCATGGTCCTCCGTAATGTGAAGCGTCGTTGCTTTGTCACCGTATCTCTCCCCATTATTCGAACTCGTTAACAGTATTAAATGAAAAACAAGCGCGGAGTAATAGAAGGCCGAACTGATCCGGCCGGCCATCTTGCTCAGACTGAGTTTCTTTAATGACCACTACACACATATATACGCACCCTACGAATATACACGGTGTCCCAAAAGACCATATCCGTTGATCCGTTTCAGTTGAATAAACTATATCGAATAATAATTTGATGAAACTCAAGCATACCGACTAAGCGATTTGTCAATTATTAAATACATTCAAAAGTACCCAATATGCGGACGACGAAAAGAAATTTGGAGCACTGAAGATAACCTCTAAAATCCTAGCAAATGTGTTCCGCAACACATCCGACGAACGAATGACTTTCAAATACTAACGAATCGTTAATATTATACAAATCACTAAACTTGATCAAATGTTGTACAGTATTGAATCGGATTACAAGTTGTATGAATGAAACATTTTAAAATATCTTGAGAAGTTGTATATACAACGTAAACGACAGCGACATTGGTTACATTATCTAGAAACGTCGAGTCCAAGTATATATTTAGTCACTTTATGCTGCATACATAACCATTGGTTATATTATACTTACTAATGATTACTAATTCTTATGTTTAAATTACGATCATTGAAAGCAATTAAAAGAATCGTTTCCAAGAATAATTCAAAATACGCGTGTCACCACTTACTCATCGTTTTCATTAGTACGTTAGCGTAGTAGCGTGTTTCTCAATTTGTACATTGAAGAACAAAGTAAATTAGTACAACAGTAAAATTTGTTCGTTACTATATTTACAAAATTTATTTAATGTAAAATAATATTGAAATTGTTGGGTAAGTAAGTACTTTAATGGCGGTTCTCAGAAGTAATAATAAAACTACATTAGATAATGGGTTTCATTTCCTGGCAACGAAAATGTCACCTCTGCGTTGGATATGTATGTCGACATAAAGAACATTTTCAAAGTTACTTAATCGATTAATCGGTAGTTTTTAATAAAATGTAATAATGCATTTCCTAAAACCAATGCATAATGCATAATTGCAGTTATAAAATTGAACTACAAATGATGGAAATAGTAAGCTTCAACTTCAACATTACTAATTAAAATGATTAAAAATTAATATTTTCTGTAGACATTGTTCCTTATATGTCTTTCACTATCTTTGTTTTTTTCTTTATAAAAACCACTTTACAAAGGTTCTGCCTTGTTTTTATTAACATTATATATGTATATATAAGCATATAAACAAAATTTGAATTTGTACAGGCAAACTCAAAAGAAATAAAAAAAAAGTAAAATTATTCTAGCCTTCAATTTGAAGGTAAGATGAGATATAATTTTGTAGCTCCATTTTTTAATTACCCTGTACAGAATATTCTTAGGAATTATGGTAAGAGGGATATTTGTACACGAAGTACAATCTGGTAGTTTTACAATTATCATGTATTATCTATTATAATAATTTTTATTTCTTATAATTTACTGTTCTTCATTGTTTCATATTTATATATATATAAATATATATATATATTTATTTATTTATATATATATACATATATTTATATATAAAACACATAGCTATGAAATATCAAGTTGTGTGTAGTGTAGCAATGCGACTCTGAATATTTAAAAAATATCTACTAAATGCACATGCATTAAATTAGAAAAAAGCGAAAGTGTTGCTGATTTTGATTAGACTGTTATTACCATCATTTTCAACCTTATATTAAGCATATTGCGTTACCCGTGATTGTATGTACAAATCAGTGAAGCGCATGGTACAGTAGGTAAAAAAAACATGAAACGTTTCGTGAAACACATTCTCGGCATGTGCTATGCAGAGGAACATTATGAAAATTGTTGTTACCGATAAGTAAAAAAAGGTTCATTCCGAAATATGGAACAAGTCGACATCAGGTTGATCGAGTCGCATTGAAATGAGACGATAGAATACAAATAAATTTTCTCTAAAAGTCAATGGTTAGTCCGTGCCGAACAAGTTTCGAGCACGATCCTTCATAAACTTCGCGTTGATCTTATTCTTACATGCTATACGAAACAAAACGAACGTCATAAATATTTAAAAACGAAAAATAAAGAAAGTTAACAATCGCACAAGTCACAACGCGATAATTCAGTTGAAATCAAGCGGGACACTTTTAGTTTGAATCAACATCGATTAATGTGATTTTAGTGTAAGCACACGCTTGATAAGAACTTGCATTGCGCGCAGAGAAGTTTAAAAAACACTTAAACGTCCCTTCTTCTTGTCTTTAATTTCATAGAATCATGATATTTGGGATCTTTATAAGAGGAAATTTTTCGAATTATTACAGTGTTCCATTCTTTATAATTCTCCAATGCGTTATTCCCGTAGGGCTCAGCATATTTAACAATTTGTTAAAAGCTAATTTATATTTATATATATAATATTTATATATTTATTTATATATTTATATATCATGTCCCAAGTTAGTGTGCTTCTTAAAAATATATGGCAGTCATCGAAACGCAAACATATCGTTTGCAGAAAAACGCAAAATCATATAATAAGAAGTACAGAGGCGAAAGAAATGTGAGAAAATTAAAAAGTCGGCTGAACCCTTTTCTGAAATAAAATTAAGAGGGGTTAAATCATAAATCAAAAAACGTTACTTTTGCCTACAATAGACAACGGGTTGCTGCGTAAGTTCTATAAACAATCTTTTGCTGGATACAGATCAGAATATAATTTTTAAAGCTTGGCTACAAATTTTGTATACAGAATACGAAATAGTGCAGTGTAGATATTTTCACTACTCTAACATTGTCAAAGACTCTCAATAAGTATTTAATATGACAGAAAATACAGTCCTGTTAAGGCACTGTTATATAGTAAAAGCGTTATGTAGCATGTAAAAAACAAAGACTCGTTTACTCGAATAACTTCATTGTGCGACGGGTATGTTCAATATATACGTTAAAAATTGCTCATGATGTACAAATTAAATATTCGGTAAATATACTACCATTTTCAGCATACAGTGGTATGTTTACTAGCTGATAGAACTCTTGCAGCAATCAAAAAATAGCTTTAAAAACCATTTTTTGTTTCGATTAAAATTTACGTAAAGCGATATTACAGACAAGATAATACCATATGAAATTAATTTATATTATTTCTTTTACGAATAATAGTATATCACGTTTGAAAAAATAGGTTGAGAAGATGTTTCACGATAGAGTACATTAAATAATAACATGTACGATAAACTTTTTGATGATGGTAGAGACATCCAAGTTAGTAAACGCTCGATCACGCTAACATGGGACATATCGAATGTGTGTCACTTTCTCAACTAGCGGTATATTGCAAAGTGTCCAAAAATTCCTTGAAGAACTAAAAACGCAATTAGACTTCGAATGGCCTACCGCACGTGAAGTATTTAACACATACAGGACAGCTGTTTAAATATTCTATTATTCCGTGGCTGATAGTAGTCGAGATGTAGGCATTTCGTTAAATGACTCATTTAGTAAAGGTCGTCCTTCAATTCATTTCGTAAAACACCATGGCCGTGTGTATGTCACCTAATTTGTTATGTTAGCGTTGCTTTAACCACACAGAGCGACGAAACATTTCTCTTTAAACGCGTGTGTTGTGCTGAGCGGCTTATACCGAACTTCACTGCTCCGGTTTAGCTGAAAATTGGCAAACAAAGTAAACGTTAAATTAAAACCTTAACGCACTGTGATACTGGAGTTTAAAATTTATGATTTATGTATCAATTGAGAGTCGCGTGGGATTTCCACAAGAAAACACAGTACAGTCCATTTTTATCCTTACCATTTTGTTATCCTTAAAATGTAATGTACAATTGTGAAGACAATAAAATGGGTAGGTTGAAATGGACCATCGTTGTATACGAGGAAAACATTACTACGTCTCAAAATATCTTTTGATTCTACTAATGAATGTTATCCTATCACACAAAGTCTGACGGCCATACGAATGCTACACATATATTTTAATAATTGAAGTAATATGCACGAATCAACTCGCCTGTTGGGTACCTGTTGGGTACCGCGTGTATATACAATTTACCTCCAATAGAAATGGCAACAACGTTTACGTTTTACAAAGGAAGATCTCTGAAAGTTCTCTGACAGCAAAGAAGCGTGAAAAAATTAATGATGTAATGAATAAGCGATTATAAAAAGGATAGCCACAATTATAAATCAGCAACGATACAAATTATTGTAATCTGTCTACGCATATAATAAATACATCATACTATGCGAACGAAAGAAACGTTTTTATGAAAGCAATGAAAAAGAATGCGAATAAGAAGCGCCTGTGAACTGAACTGTTGGATAAACGTGACGCGTTAAAACGATCGTGTTTCATATATTTGAGTGATACGAATTTTTTTTGTAAATTGTAGAAATGCTTAGAAATGTTTTGTCGCTAAAAATACAACAATCTGTTAGGTAATACAGTCATCCATCTCGCTATTCGTTGAACGACTGACACGGAATTTAATGTAATTGAGACTATTTTGACGGTCAACGAATCTTTTTTGGACTTTGCTGTCTTACTTCACTACTTTGCTGTATAATTTTAGAATTTTAGAATATCGCAACATTTAATTTAACATTCAATTACTATATATATATATATATATAATTTTATTTATGATAGCAATTGTTCTAGAACAAAAAATTAGTAATTAGTCCCAAATCTATAAACGGATAACGAAATAGGACTGTAATTAGCGACTCCGAAGTTTTACAGAAACTAAAGGAACCTCTAGAATATGAAACACAGTAAGCACTGCACATACACGTTCTCTTACTTAGAGAACCTCGGTAATCATTCCGCATTCACAATTGGAAGAACATTCCTCTTGTACTTCTCGAGATGCTAATCATAATATATAAATAAAAAAATAAAAAAAAAAAAGAATAAAAAGGAACAAAAGGAGAAAATCAACTGGAAAACGATGATCAATTAATCGTGCAATAGTACGACGGTAATGATCTAGGATTTGTTGTGCGACTCACCGCCAATCACTAAATGTTGTTCCAATTGTGTACTGTTTTCTTACGTTCATTGGTTTCACTTTCTACTTTTTGGCTTTTCTAAAATATGATAAATGCAATATGATCGAATGAAATGGATGTCTGCCAGCGCTAATCGTATAATGGAATGACTGGGAAGACCTCGAATTTTTCAACTGTCATTCATTCTGATGCTCCGAGGTGATCACCTGCCACTCGTATAAGGATGATCAATAACACTCAAGAAAAGAAGCAAAGTATCCGTTAATGCCTATACTTTTAAACCTACAATGGACTTCGTTACTTCGCTTTCAGAGATATAGACGGCGAGAGGGGGCTATCAAATTAGAGCACTGAATAATAATAATAATAATAATAAAAAAAAAAAAAAAATAGGAAAATGTTACATCCAAGTCGACACACAGCGTTACCCTGTAAATATAGTTTTACAAGGTCTTCTAGAACGAGCATTTAATAATTACACGTTAATATTAATTACTTTAACAATTGGTCGACACGGCGGTCGAGTAAATAAATAAAATATAATTAACATTCGTCAACGATGAAAATATAAAAAGCGAAATGTACAATTGTAAACATTTTATGAAATTGTCTATCGATTCGCAAGGTGAATGACGAAAAAAAAAAATGTTAGACAAAGCACGTGGACAACAGATGCTCCGTCGTTTCCTTTGAACTTCCATGAATCTCATAATTTCGCGTGATATGTAAGCGTTACGTAATGTCATACGCGGGATACAATAATCTTTTCCAGAAACTCCTATCTCTAAACTCACTTTTTCTTGAGAGTGAAGAAGCTACGCCGCTTGGTTTCGGCTTGTGTGGGCGCGGGCAAAGTATGTGCCCTGGACGTACTTGCACCTGATGCACCCTGTGCTGCTTGATTCAGCATTGTAACCCATTCGTTCATCTCAGCATCGTCTTTGGCCTGGAACAGGAAGTCGGATCCGCTTTGCGATCTGCAACATTTAATAAATAGATCGTTTGAAAACTTTTGATACTTAGGACCAAGTATCAAGAATTTAATACTGTTTTGTATCGTCATTTTTGAAACATATATGCATTACTTAAATTGAGATCTTATTAGATTACTAGAATTGTTGTATTACCTCATTTTAATATTAAGCGATGCAGAATCACATTGGTATCGATAACCTTGACGAACTTTGCGATACACGTAATGCGAACGTGTTTGGCTACTGACCGTCATTATTATACAATTGGTAAGAATAGTTTTATACAGCTTACTTTACTCGGAAGACGTGTTTCTTCTTGGTGTAATCGTTCGCTACGGTAATAGTTGCACCTCTCAGATCGAGAGGACTTTCTCCCTTGTACGATTGATCAGGAGCTGCTTTGTACGATTTTTGGTCCGTATATACGCACAAACTTTGGCCACGAACAACCATGTACACCTTGTGCCAGGACCGATTGGACGCCTTCTTTGTTGTGCTCTCCCATTCGTGTTTTCTTTGCAATACGCCTTCGAATTCGTCATCGGTAGGACTTCGTTGCTCTGGAAAATCGTAATGTAACGTAAAACAACTGAGAAATACAAACAAATCGATGAGTTTATTTATTTGATAAGTCATTAGAAACCCGAATTATCTACGTTCCACTCGGCATCCAGTTTCCTTTGGATACACAACAGGGCTGCAAACATGTAACATAATTAATTTCCTATAAATCGTACATTTATTACAGAAAAATTCATTTCAGGCAGGAAGATGATCCCGGTAAACAGCTCCCAAATATGTTAGACGATGCTAAATGCAATTTAAATACCCAAACATACACGCGCATTCACGGTGCAACACCATTTCTAAACAGATTCAATTCTAATCGCATACAATTAGTAGGATGCAGCAAAAATTTGACATTACTGTTAATATTGGTATGACCCACGTTCTCAACATCTTATTTCTCATAGCACACGCCAGTATCGTCAACAAGGCTGAAAACAGAAGGATTAGTTGTTGTTCGATGTCGGAAAAGATTCGGTTTCACAAAAACCTTGAACATCTAATGTAAGTAACAAAGGATTCGTTAACTTACTTTAATAGCTAATTAATATATCGCTAACGTGTTCTTAAATAAAACAGTAGTTTACATAGATATTAATTCCATTGGATCGTAGAAATTAAATCGCTTCTTCTTATCACTGTACCGCTTGAAATCTCCGTTAAGGAAAATGAAATGGTAGGTATCACGTTGGAATCGTATAGGATGGTTCATATGAGAACTGCTTACCGGAAATGCTGCGTTCATCGTCACTCACGCCACTGCGATCTAAACTCGGCGACTTGGCAGATTTTCTCCAGCGGAAACTTCTGAATGGCGACTTGCTGCGACTACGTTCCTTACGTCTTAAAGTACCAGACTCGGAACCGCTTCCACCTTTTGGAGCTTTCAACGATACACGTAACACACACGATATGATTAGCTACTTACTCTTTATATCGAGAGCCTAATTTGTAGAATTGGTCAGAGGTAGGAGTTCATTACTAACATACGTACATATATGATACCATATTTACCGAATCATGCCAATTTCAAGTAAATAACCATGCAATACGATCATGCGACAATTCTCTGCTTTCATCCTTGTACAATTTGTTAAAAATAAAGAAAAATTGTTTTCATGGAATCGATATTCAGCAATGTTCGTGTCTGTACATAGACACGTAATACACGTAACTTTTTATAAGAGATTTTTATTAGAGAATCATGACGACTTTTGACAAATCTTTTGGCAAAAAAATATTAGAACGCGAAAACTTCTGTTGCGGGGAGCAGCCACAAACATCACGAGAACCACAGTTACAACTAGTACCTGTACCAGTAAGTCCTGCGCCGGCTTGGTCAGGTGTCGCAATAATTGATATGAAAATGGAAACTATATCATCGAACGATTACAAGGGAAAATATTTGGTACTACTTTTCTACCCGTACGATTTTACTTTCATTTGTCCCACCGAAATCATACTATACAACGATCGTTTGGAAGAATTTCAAAAATCAAGTACACCTTTGTCAATTATTCTCTTTTAGTTATCGCCTACAGGAATTTTCACCAAAGTTCATAACGATTAATATATCAAATGTTAATATTAAAGATTGTGAAATAGTAGCAATTTCTACGGATTCTGAGTATTCACACCTAGCATGGATCGTAACTCCACGAAAACAGGGTGGTCTGGGCAATATGAAGATCGCCGTTTTATCGGATCGAAATCACAAGATATCAAAGATGTACGGGGTACTTAACGAAGATGAAGGGATATCCCTAAAGGCAGTGTTTCTCATCGATAAAAATCAATTGATCCGACACGTCGCGATCAGCGAAAATTGTTTGGCACGTTCTGTTGACGAAACTTTACGAATCCTGGAAGCTTGTCATTTCGCGGACAAATTTGGTCACGTGTGTCCAGCTGGTCCAAGAGAAAGAGTGGATAGTTTCCACAAAGAACCAAATTATTTTAGCATTACATAATCACGAGTATTCGATTTGTAGCTTGTTGTATTTACCCGCTCAAGTTTTAAAGAAAATATATTCTTTATGTACGGAACTTTGGGAAATTCTTTGCTTTTCGAACGATGAATAATGTGATTAGTTATGCTTTAAGTGAACTTACTTGTTGGACTGGATAGACCTTGTGCAGATTTCATGGGTGAGGAAGTAGCGGATGGTGTTGCTTCTCCTCGCATAGATAGACGTGCAGGTTTCTGAGCATGCACTATATACCACATACCAATTTTATCATGCTGTATTTTAGAATTAAATATTACGAGTTGAGGGGATAAAACTAATGTACAGAATCACTAATATAATGATTGCTACATTACGGTTACAAGAATATATCGATGAAAGAACAGATGAAATAAAAGCGACAGATGAAGTACTTCGTAGTAAATTAATAATTTGCTACAAAAGTATTTGTTATATAAGGAAATGTTATGCGCGCGTAAAGAAGCATAGTTCGAAATTGTAAACACCATCAAATACTACGTTTCTTTCTATGCTTACCTTTTTTTTTCTTTTTTTTTTTTTAAATGAAAAACTAGTTTCTTCTTATGCGAATCGCAATCATCGTTTGAAGAAAATGTGAAATTTCATTATCGAATAATACATATTAAACACTACTATTTAACAAATGCAATATTTAATTTAAATCTCACTTAATCTGGTTCAATAAATGTTTGTTCTGTAGCTCGGTTAGAACGGCGCCGTCACCTGTTATAAAGAGTTAATAAAAGCAAATAAACGATTATAGTTATAATTATAGCGATAGGTGCAGTTGGCCTAGGGATATGCTGAAAGAGTTAAAGTTTTTCTAAAATTATGATTTAACCCGTATTGTGTACAAATTTTAATCGAAATACGTTTACTTCAAAAACGACACTTGTCACACAATACAGATTAATTTTAATGCGAAAGAAAAGACGAAAAGTCTGCTGTAAAATGCACCATTATGAAACGATTTAATCTTATGTTCCATCACCAGCTTAAAGGAACAATGTAACAGGATCTATGTATATGTAAAATGTAACTTTAATCAGTTATCAAATACCAGATTTTCATTCATAGAACAAGAAAGTAACGCTATTGCGAAAGGGACGGAAACAAGATTGAACAACAAATTGTTGCACCGAAATCATTTTACATAAAAAATTCACTGGTATTTAATAGAGTGACGTAATTACGAACAATAAAATTAGTATACGCTACATCATTTTATTGCTAAAAATTTCTCAATATCCTCCAAATGATTTTTCAACCCTTCGAACTCGACAGTCATAAATAAATCAAATAAAATAAATATGAGTTATAGAAAAGGTAAATGAAGTGTTGAACGATGCACAAGTGTCTGAGAAATAATGCACTGCTTGGTGATTCTCGAATAGCGAAGAACAAATGTATGATTTTCAAAGAAAAATTCAAACATAAAATAATTTCGGTCTCAAGAAGGGCAATATTTATATCGTCAGGACACTCACCTTCCTTCGGTTTATCTTGAGGCTGTGGTGTACGTGTAGAAGCCTTGCGATGTGCCACTGTGGTTTGTGCATTCCGTGCCGCATTTTAGGGTGCATTTAGGAGGGATTTACAATTGGAATAAACGGATAGTCGATGGAACGGAGTCAATTTCGAAAAAAGGTTGGAGAAAAAGGCAAAAATAAACGTGCTGTTAGCAATTTCATGCTTATTCAAAACAAACCAGTTCGTAAAACCAGTCGCCTGAGAGTTAAGTGTACAAGTGAAAAGCGAAACCGTAAAGTACACATTGTATTAGTAGTACAATATATGTATATATAAAAAAATCCATATTCATTTTTGTAGTTCAATCAAGCAATCGGTGATTTTCATTCCTGGATTATTACTATTATCAAAGGACGTTAAATTTGTCTTGCCAGAAAACATTGTAACCAAAGCTTTCAACGGAAACAGAACCTTTGAAGGTGTAACCGTTTTGAACCAAGTATTGTTTAAAATGCCCTTTAATACGTTGTGCGATACATGATACATATTTTACTTACCATGTGATTCGTCTTCGCCGGCAGGACGTTCTCCACTAGTTACACCATCAGCTTCGGCTCTATAACATTTTTATTGTTATTTTATGTTTGAAATAAAGCTGTATGCATTATTATATCGTAACTAGACGAATTTTCATTATTTAACTTTAGGACCCAGTACACTATAATTTGCTTACTGGTTAAATGTTCTCCACCTCAGAAACTAGTATGCAACAACGATACAAATACTGAAATATAGTGTACCTTTCACTGGGCGGTTCATCTGGACTAGTTACCGGCGTTGCTTTAGCTAATCGAGCTGCCTCGGCTGCTGCTGCTTCTTCTTTCTTACGTTTCTCTTCTTCCTCCCGCTCCTGTTCTCTTCTCTTCAACTCTTTCAACTCAAACTATAACATGTCCGCGTTCCCACAAATTAAACGAATGAATGAAAATAAAATTTGGAGTGGGGAAACTACTAACCGTGGTGAGTCGATGCAAGGCACTGAACCTTTCCTCTTGTGCAGCTGCCGACTTTTCGAATGCTTCATGTTTCTTAATTAGATTCTCAACTTCATCGATCGTGTGCTGTAACAATTACATTTATAATAGAAAAAAATACATTCAGAAATAATTAAATCGATAATTGATGAGACTATTTAGAAAAAGTAGCAATGTTAGTATCTGTGCTTACACCAAGTTCTTGGCTCATAAGATATGGTTCTTGAGCAATTAGCCATGCCTCAGCGACCGCGGCATCCCTGGCGAATTGATAGACTTCCAGAACTTAAATGTTGAAAAAATTATAATTACTATCAAGACTCGTAATATCTGGATTATACATGAAAAATTGTATACATGTGTACTTACTGAGCTGCAAGTTCTCCCAACGTTCTTCCCATCTATGCAGCAATGCGTTTCTATGATCAGTGAGAGCTGCCAATTTTTCCTTGATTTGAGTACTGGCATAATGGTTCCTAGCTAATAAGTCCTTTCCTAGATTAATACACGCCATTAAGTTGTCCTCTCTGGCGTCGATCTCAGCCTTCAAACTCTGATGATTGTTCATCAGAAGCTCGACACCAGCGACGTCACGAGGCTTCTCAGAGGTGTTCATTTGACGCACGACGTCATCCATCCAGATCATTAGAGTTCTGACCATGTTGAAGAAGCGGAATAGATCGCCGGTGTCCTCTAATTTCGCTCTTCTTTCGTCGCAGAGCGACTGGAGATTGTTCCACGAAGCCACAACTTCTCCCTCGCGGTTTGTTATCTCCCTGGCCTTGTCGCCGGCGTAGCTTGCTTGCAGCTTAGCAGATTCCTCCTGGATCTGCGATACTTGACTCTGCAGCGTGGACAGATCTTGCATGAAATTACCGTGCTTTCGTTGAAGAGCAGACACAGAGCCAGCGTCGCGACCAAGATCGTCGGACATGGCGTTTTGTTTTTCCAGAATTCTGCCCAGCACATCCTTACAATCGTGGAAGAACTTGTGCAGCTCGCGGCTAGCTTGCAGCATTTGCGTACGCGTCTCGATCAGCTCGAGCAAGTCTTGCCAGACCTCGTTCAAGCCATCCTTCCATTCGGCGATAGTCGCTGCGTCGGAATGGCCAGCTGCGATCAACGAATCTGCGATGCCATTCACCGCTGCAACTCTCTCGGAGCCTATCGCTTCCGTGTCTCGAGCGAACTCTTTGAATCTCTCCCACAAGAGCGTCACGTGATCATAATCCTGGCCCAACTCGTGGCTTCCCGCGACCAATTCTCTCTCCGCGATCCATTGTTCCAGATCATCCACCTCTCTGTTAAGCATGAACAGCTGAAGCGCCTCGTCCAACTTGGCTCGTCGTTCGCCAGCCAGATCTTTCAATCCGGCGTACAACTTATCCACCTGTGACTGTTTAACGGCAATCTGATCAGCCAAAGGATGCTGATCGTTGATAAGCTGCCTGGCCGTTTCTCCCAGCTGACGGATCGTCTCCGCGTAGTCTTCAACGGCGTGCTCCAACGATTCGTGTTTCTTCATCAGATTCTGAGCAGAAATTTCGTCCTTGCCACGATCTTCCACCATCATGTACAGTTCTTGTTCGCTCATCCAGGACTCGGCCTCGGTTGCGTCGAAGAAGTACTGCTGAGCCTTCTCGTTTTGAAGCAGATGCTTGTTTCTATCGTCCACGGCATCTTTCAACTCCTTCCATTTTTCGGTCAACTCGGATATAAGTTTTCGGAACTCGGGGCTGTCTTCGTGTTCCTCGTCGATCAGTTTCTGTCCATTATTGCATACCAAGTTGATCCTAGGCTCGTGATTCTCGATTTCCGTGCGGAGAGACTGGTTCTTCTTTTTCAACATATGCACGTTGAACAAAGAGTTCCCGTACTCCGTACTGGTAGCCTGCGGCATCTTCTCAGCGATCCAGAGTTTCTCATCCTCCACGTCGCGCCTAAATTGGAACGCCTCCTTCTTCTTCTCGAGATGACGCTGGCGATCGATCAGAGGCGCCTTCAATTGAGCGAATCTCTGCGCGACCTTCTCCTTCTTGCATTTAATCTCTTCCATCTTATCATCGGGAACGGTACGTTGCAAATGTTCTGCCTGTTTATCGAGCTCTGTCACCTGTCGCGCCTTTACCGCCATTTGCGTCTCGATCATTTGTTGTTTCTGCATCAAGATGTTGACAGATGCCAAGTCGGAACCAGTGTCGGTACTCTCGATCTGTTTCTCCAGCTCGTTCATCCAAGAATCGATGTCGTCGCAAGTCTGGTGTATGAGAACCTCCCGATTGGCATCGAACAGACGTTCTCCTTTATCGTGAGTGGTGGTTTCAAGTTCCTCGAACTGATCGGCCAATTCGGCCACCTTGGGTTTGATGATCTCGGCCAAATCCGGTTTCTGTTTAATTAATTCTTCGGCGGCCTGTTGCAACTGTTGCAGACGGTCCTTGTTGCTCGCGATCTCCGCCTCGAAGGCTTGATGTCTCGTCCATTTACTGTGCACGGTTTTCGCGCTTCTATAAGTTTCATCCTGGGCCGTGATATGCTTCTCCTGCACCCACTCGCCCAATTCTTCGCAGTCCTGCAAGAACATTTGCAATTGCAATTGATCTTTCAGCTTCTCCATATACTGATTGGCCTTCTCGCGATTGATACGGCGACGATCGTTGATGTTCTCTGCCTTCTTTTTGACTTTGTCTGCCGCGAAGTGACCCTCGTCGACAAGTCTTCCGGCGAATTGCACGACAGAGTTGATTTTCTCATCGTTCGCATCCATCGTCGTCATAAAGGCCTCGTGACGCTTGATCATATGCTCCGCCTGTTCGAAATTGGTTGGCGTTTCGTCCTTGGCGAGAATGTGTTCTTGCTGAGACAAAAGCACCTCTGCCTGGCGAGCGTCGCGATCGAAGACCTGTAGATTCAACGAGTTCGACAACAAGATTTGCCGATTGTACCACATTTGATGCAATTCCTCCCAACCCATTTTCAAAGCGTTCAATCTTTCTCTCAGGAACATGTACTGTGTATCACCGTCACCCGCCTCGCTGGTCAACCTCTCGCCGTACTCCATCATCTTCTGATAATCATCGGTGTAGTTGTCGATTTCTTCCTTGATGTTCTGATGCTGCGTTAATAGTTTCTCGGCATCGGCCAAGGTGGTCGGTGTGTCTTCGCTGGCAACGTCTGTTTGCGTCTTGGTCAGCCAGGTCTGGAAGTGATCGAGGTCTCTCAAGAATCTGTGCAAATCACCCGCTTCCTCTAACTTGGCATCGCGTTCTTTCAACATCTGAGTTAACTGCTCCCAAATCGTATGGATCTGCGTAATTCTCTCGCGAATCATCTCTGGATCTTCCAAGTTTTGCTGCTGAATGTTTTGAGCCTCCATTTCCAAAGCATCCAATTTAGCCTGTATAGCTGCCAAGTCGCGTTCCATTCCGCTCAGTCGACGCTGCAGAGTCATAACACCGGTCAAGTCCATCTCGAGACTATCGGTTTGCTGGAGGATACGTTTCTTGTCTTCGATCCAGGAAACAGTTTCGCGACATTCGATGTGGAAAGTCTGAACACCGTGAGCGGAATTCAGCTCGTCGCGTTTATTCTCCGCCTTGTCCCTTAATTCGGCCCACTTCTGGTTCAGCTCGTTCTGACGAGCGACTATTTGCTCGGAATTTGGATGTTCGACGTGCAACAATTGTCTCGCCAGTTGATTCACGACGGCAACTCGCGAGGCATTCGCGTACATTTCTTTCTCGAAGCCGTTGTACCGATGCTTCATGATCTCGACGTCTTCGATGTCCTTGGCAGGCACCATCGTTTCCAACATACGATTTTTCTCACCAATCCATTGCTCGACTCCGTCTGATTCGCTAAACAGCTTATACAAAGACAACGCATCCAACAGTCTTTGCTTGCGCAGCTTGGCCAGCTCCATCAGTTCTTTGTATCGCGAGTCTATGGAAGCGAGTCTCTCCAGTACTTCCGATGACTTGGCGTCTTGCTCCCCAAGCCCCGACGCTTGTTGATGAAGCTGATCGATGGTGGTAGCATAGTTCTTAAGCTCGTCCGTGACGTCTTTGTGCTTCTTCAACAACGACTGAACATTGGCTTCGTCTCTACCGACGTCTTCCGATGAAACCAGTCGCAGGGTATCCAGCATCCAAATATCGATGTCATCGGCATCTGCGAACAATTGATGGTAGTCGACAGCTTCCTCCAAACGCTTTCTTCTGAACGCAGCCAAATCTAGAAGATGATTCCACATTCCCAGAATCTCTTCAAGTCTTTCTTGGATGCGGTCAGAGCCAAAGTGTTGCTGGCGAACCAGCTCGTCTCCAACAGCGGCCACGGACATCAATTGCGGTTCGTGCGATTGGATTTCGTTTTCCAAAGCTTTATGTTTCGACAGCAATAAGTTTATAGTCGTTAGATCGTGGCCAATATCTCCCGTCGATACAATTTGTTCTTTCTCCTTTATCCAATTCTCCTCGTCTGCCATGTCCCAGTAGAACTGCCAAAGTTTACGAGACTCCTCCAACCTAGCTCGACGTTCAACGGCCAAACGGACCAGTTCGGCATACGCGTCTTCGAGTTGCTGCACGCGCTCGACGATGATGGTTGGGTCACACGGCCGATAACCTTCCCCGTGTTCCAAAAACCTTTGACTCTGCTGAACGACAGCTTTCACTCTTTCCCCTAAAACGTTGATGTCAGCTTCCACGAGAGAATGCTTCTGTAGAAGATCTTCCACGCCCATCAAGTGCTTTCCGTAATCATCGGTTAGCAAGCGTATCTTTATCTCTTCCATGCTGTCAAGGATGTACAGCATCTCCTGGAAGTTCTGTTGCAACTGCAAAGACAATTCCAATCTCATTCTCCTAGCGTGAAGCAATTCTATCAGATAATTCCACAATCTCAGAACGTTATCCTTGCGTGCGTTGATACGCTCGATATCGTGATAGTTTTCGGCTTCGAGTTCTTGCGAAACAGCCATCACCGCTTGAACTCGTTCCTCGTACGCGAAGATGTCGGTTTCGATGGCTTCGTGTTTCTTGGCCGCGGCCTCGACCGCAGCAAGATCGAAACCGAAATTATCTTGCGAGACCAACCGTTGATTCTCGGACAGCCAAGTCTCTCGCATGCTGGCTTTTCGATTGAACCTCGCTGCCAATTGCTCCAACTTCTCCTGACGGATCAATTCCTCGCGCAGAGCCAACTCTCGCTCGTGCTCGGCCTTCTCCAGCCTCTCCCATGCTTTGTTAATGTCCGCGATCATCTTGCCCTCCTTCGGTGTATACGGCTTTTGATTGTTCGCTCGCATCTTGGACTGCAGAGTAAACAGTAGCACCTCGAGATTACCTTTCTCGACGAACTTGGGCGGCTTTTCCACGGTACGATAATTCGAGAACTGTGAAAGCTGCGATTGAACGCCGACCAGCGAATTGGCGAATCTACGGTCGCCCAGAGCCTCTATAGTGCCCTCGATCCAGCGCAACAAGTCGCTAGTCAAGCTTTCGTATTCGTGTATCATGCGGTCGTTCTCCATCGCGATGCCGACTACTTTGCCTATCCTTTTACCTTGAACAGTTTCCTGTTTCATTTTCGAGAAGTAATGATAGTACGTTACCACGTAGGTGATGATAGATTTCTCGTCCGGATGATCGACGAATATATCCTCGGCATCGAGAAGTTTCGTGAGACCGAGCTTATCCTCGGCCACGTTGAACGCGTTGTTCAAATTGTAAATGGCGTTCGATTTCGAGAGCTTGTCGAACTGAATCAAGTCGGGACGATGTTTGTGAATGATCGCGTTGAAAGCCAAGCCATCGCGCCAGGACGTGGTAAAGTTCCGTACGTTCACGTTGTGGTACCCGGCTGTCTTCATCTGGCACCAAAGAAGCAAAGCGTCTTTCGCCGATTTCGTTTCCTGATTGTCCGTTTCCTCGATAGTGATATCCTGAATTTGGAAACGGAGAATAATGGTCCAGATGAGACCCAAGCTCAAACGAGGATTTCCATCGACTATGTCGTGAGATCCCATGTTCTCCAGATGCACCCTTTGCTCGCGCAAGAATTGCAGGGCTTTATCCACGTTTTCCAAACAATGAATTCGCATTTTTCCTTTTGTTGGTCGCGGCAAGCGTTCTCCGGACAGAATTTCCAACAGCTTTATAAGCATCTTCCCGTCTCGGAGATCGACGTACAAATCGCCGATTCGGCATGAACACCGAACTAAATGGGAGTTTACCCATTTCTGGAAAGTCTTTTTTTGTACCAATTCACGTTCACCTGGTCGTGGGAGAAACAATGAAAAATAGGTTAGACTCTGTTCAAGAAAAATCTCAATCACTTTATAATAAGAAATAGTTTGAGTTGCGTTTATTTTCGTTCTGTCAGCGATTACGATTACTTTTCGATACATTTACCTCTCAATCTATAAAAAATCTTATCACAGTTCATTTTCAATTGATCTTATGTTATCACTTTAAAAATCCAAGTTTTTCTTATTTATATGTATTATACTGTAATACGCAACACCGCCGAACCGTTAAATACATTCTTATTGGTACAACGATCGTTACTAAGAACTTTCCTCAAAGAACATAGATATAAAACTATCGACTTATCAAAAGGCGTATCTGTATCAAAGGATGTGGCGATAGTTGGTCTATCGTTTAGTTTCCGAAGCAATTAAGAAAGAATTGTTACAGTTATATCCCTGCTATGTGTTATATGTATGTATATTTTTCTAAAGTCACTATGGACGGCCTTACCGATTACCGACAAATGGACTAAATGGATCGGGGAAAAAAGAGTAGCGATGCATACCAGCTAACGCCTTGATCCGTGAACGTTCGAAAAGTCTCGAGCTCGAGTTTCCCCCGTCGTATTCGTACTCATCGACAATCTCTTGTTGTAACGTGGGGTCCCAAACCCCTCGCACCACCGAGATGTCGGTCGTCATTTTGCCAATAGGACCAACAACTCACTTGTTTCTTACCCTGCGAAAGGGCGCTCCTGAAACAGAATAAAATGAGTACATAAATAGTGCGTCGAGTAAAAATTGCTCGATTTACAAATCGAGAACTAGAACGATATTTGAATATTTGCATCTTACCTGCGATTACTTTTTTTTTTTTTCGTTTTTTTTTTTCCTGTCATTTGCAACACACTCAAGTATCCGTTCTGCTACTTCGTTCAACCTTCGCCAAGATAACAATTGCAGAGTAATCTTATCTTTTCTCTTATGTATTTTATGTATCTTACGTCGAGCGTTAGATAACAGTTTCAATCGGGCCAGCGTTTTACAATTAACTACCGAGTCTCAAGATCAACGTCGAACGAAAGTGCAATTCTTGAATGGTACAAACACATGACTAATTCGAGACCGTAACGTGCTTTCCGAATAATAATACACACAATCTATTCACGGAATTGCAAACGAAGATGGCTTGATCTTTGTACACTGGCCTAACCGCTAGCCGTGCGTTTCACTCGACGATACGGTGAACTCGTTGGAAAGTAACTTTGTTTAAACAGGAGACAACAAATTACAAAATTTTGATGAAACTTTGACGATTCGCTTTACTCATTGTCAGCCGTGTCTTTTATCCGAGCGCAACCGAAGGACATGGGCGTGTCGGAAAGTAGGATATCGCGAGCATTTAGGAGAATATTAAGGAGAGCAATGTACGTACGATACATCGCTATTGTCGAGTGCACGTACAATTTTGTTTCCAGGGCGTTTGGTCTGACAACGCGCGTTAGCGTTACGTCCTCAAACCGCGTGGGAGCTCCTGGACGAGTGATTACATCACGCGAATGATGTCACACGTGCGAAATATGCACCAATGGCGTCGCAACAGGGATCGAACGAATCAACGGTGAACGTTCTTTCCCGATGTACTAATCAAGTAATTTCGGACGCTACAGAAAAACTGTTGCTCTATGCTTAACAATTACCATTATATTTTATATTTAATTGCCATTATCAACGAGGGAGGATACTACCGATTACTATATTTAAATACTCAGTTTCCTTTATCTCTGACATTGAACTCTACCTAATTTGTTTGCTAGCTCGATTCCTCGGTCGTTTTCAGTGAACAACAATACTCGTTCGTTGAATCGATGGTCTTACCGAGTGTTCCGCGGGGCAACTCGACACGTCCTCTGTGTATTCGCGCAGGTAGCCGTGCAAAAACTCAAGGAAAACCACAGTAAGTCGATATGAGCGACGTTGCTTGACGGTGACATTTCACCGCTAGCTTTGCAAAGGCAAAGAAGAAAAGATCGGCGTCACCGATACCTTAGCATTTAGAAAAATTACTCTAAGCAGGTACTCCGATGGCTGAGAGAAGAAAATAATCGCTCGGGTGTTTCTTCCTGGGGCACGTTATTTAACCTTTGCTCGACGAGTGGGTTTCTTCAACGGGGTCACGGATGCCGTGAAATATCGTAAAATTTCATGCACCTCCGTATAAATTATTGCCGCCTAATTCTTGTCGCTTTACGTTTATATATTCTGTTCTACGATTTCTTTCGTTCGCCAGATTATCGAAACGAACCGATACTTTCACGCAAGATCTATCTCTGTCGGTGATCAGCGCGATATTGCACGTTTATCGGAAAGAGATCGAGATCCACCGGTGACCCAATTTCCTAGAGTAGTCTCGCTGGAGTAGGTAAGCAAAATTCTCATCTAGATAAAAATCTCTATACGTTGATGTTATTCGAATAAAATTGTACCCGTCTCCGACTCGAACGTTCGATACAGCCCTGAGAACGAAAAGAAAGTTACGCAGGAATGAACGACATTTTTGAGCGTCTGTTGGACACTAGCGGTACATTAAGAGCAATTAGAAGCAAGCAACGACATACTTAATGAGAATTGTCAGAGAGGGAAAGAGAGAAACCAGAGGCAAAAGAGTAGGAATATTAGTGTGGCCCCGTGCCGAGTGGGCGAGGTAAAATGAATCACACGGTGAACGACACGTATAATCGGGGAAGGTTGATTTTACTACGATGAGTAAATCGTTGAGATCGCCGACGCGACGCTCTGCATTTACTTTCGTCGACTTTTCGACACAAAGACGAATCGAACGATCCCGACAAACAACTTTGTATTCGTTTGTTTGCGTGTCATAAAAATTAGTCTACGCAATCTATCCGAAACTTTCGTATTAGCAATAGATGAATATTTTCGCGACCTTAAACGTTCACCTCTATCTAAACAGTAAAAAAAACAGACTCGTATTCTACGCGACCTTTTGCTCGCGAATTCTAACGAGGAAGCAGCCAACGAAACCGAAGGAAAAGCAAAACTCGAGCGGAAATGAACAGCGAGGCCAAGATGAAATTCCACTGGGAACTATAACAAGCAACCGGACCTTTGTGTACCGCGTCGAGTTTAGGGTTAATTTGCCGTTTAATCGGTTCTCTGTGCATATTAAGTCGCACTCGAAGCGGCTCGTGTGTGTACCCGTTTCTCATCCCGTATAAAAGACCGCGCTCTGTAGATGCCGCAACGCTGAAGGTAAGATGAACTCGCCACGAACGAACACACAGCGTCGGGATATTGATTTTCCACCGGGAGTCACCGTGGCGCCAATGTTCACAATATATGTATATTATACACTGGGCGGTACACTAAAAACGCAATGTCGAAAAAAGATCAGTGATCGTAGACGGTGTCGAATGTAAGGGAGTCTTTTGGTCTGGAATACTGAAAAGACGCCTTTTCGCGTAACTATCCGGCGGAAAAATGTTTATCATAAAGAGGCCGTTAGCCGTATGAATGGAGGATCGATAGGAGAGAAGATAAAACAATAGCTTGGAAGAGGATGAATTGGAAGAGAAATTGGTGGAGGACGTTACGAGTTGTGAAACACCCAGAGACACAAAGACTAGAGGCTAGTGTTAGGGAAGGGAGAGTTGAAATAATGAAACGATAAACTTACAATTAGAGACAGTCGAAGAAGAAAGAGGAAATACGGCGACCTGCTTTTCAACGTCCCTATCCGAAGGATGCAGTCAGCAATGCGACTTTATTTGCTTCGGAAGAGGGGTTCATCGGCTAATGAGGTTAAGAGCGTAGCTAGCGAGTAGCGATGCATTTACTAGAAAATTGAGTAAACGCGGTAACAACGTGGTAAGGTCTACATGTACTGCTAATCATTCTAACTAAATAATTAGTAAAATAGAGCTTAAGGCGTGATGAATTTCCTCGTAATATTTACAAATACTCTGAAGGTCGTTTCCTTCGTCGTACAATCAAATAGTATTAATATCATCGGCTGGTAGGAAGTCATGTCTATTTTCGTACTATTCGACGCTTCCCGAGCGTAAAATAAATTATTCCGTAGACCAAAACACGCGCTAAACGCCAATGTAAGTAACTATTTTACCGACAAGTGCGTCGACTAACTGTGTATTAAAAATGTCTGTCGACGCAACGTTTGTTTGTGTTTCTACCAGCAGTCGATAATCGTAACCGGCCGAAAAGGGTCCGCGGTAAATTATGATTGCATGCATCCGAAATTCCTTGGCACGGTGTGGTTTTCTATTTATCGAGGATGACTCGGCACGCGGCGACGAAAGGTCAAAACCCTGCAACTTGCGGGGATTCAGAAAAGCAGATTCAATCTATGGCGAAAGCTAATTCGATCGATAACAGGGACTAGTCAGTCGCGTAACACGTCTGGTGCAACAATAAAATTGGAAAAATAGGTACGTACTCTTGCAGTTGTTACGTATCTCGCAAAAAATATGTTGGCCCGATTCGTAGATGCAAACGAAAAAGATAAAAATACTCGACGTTACTTTTCAGATTCGGTACAGATTAGGCTTCGATCGTGTTTACTTTTCGATAAAAGCGATCTTCCACGAAGTACAGATGACACCAATCAATTATTGCGTCTCGTTAACCCAAAGAATATCCAAGTTACGTAATCGAATGCTGTGAATGATCCTCACAGAAAATATTACCGGAGCCCAGATTGCGTCTTCGTGCCATCTTTGATGTTAACGACTAACACACAAGTTAATTCTCGCGTACTGAAACGGTAAGGATAAACGCGGCCGACAGGTATTTTCGTAAAACGCAACGATAATACGATGAAAGATGATATACATATAAGTGGAGATTGGAGCACGAAGGCCGAAAAAAAACGTCGATTAAGGTTGTGGAAGTGGCACTCCATGAATAGAGTATGGCTACTTGCCGCTGTACACGAAACTACGTCACGTCCGCATTTACGCTAATCTGGCGTCGACCGGCAGCTTGGTTACCTCCTCATTTACTTGGACAACGCGTTCGCTAGACGCATCGTTTGATCCTGAAATGTTGTTTGGTTCGCGACAAACGAGGATCCGAATTCCCTACAATTCGACGAACGTCAAGGGATAACGTACAAGTTAAACGAAGCCTTTATTATTCCTTAGGTGAAATAAAATCAAGTCTGAGATGAATGGGCTTACGCAAACGATTAAATTAATTCCGAACCAGTTACAATTTTATGAACTCGATTGTAAACGTTACAACGTAATTTTCCCATGTACTGTGTAATCGTGCTCACAGATTCTCTGCCAAGAGTGCGACTCTACGAACCTATACCGTACAAGGTTACAATTATCGAGGGTCAACGATTGTATTTTATTTCTCCTTGAATTGCACAAACATTACTTTTTCTTGTATTTATAGTGAATGTTCATATTCATAGCAACGTCGGCGTCGTTCCTGTAAATAATTTACTGGGTCCATTTCTAAATAACTATCTATGATCGTTTCAAAATTACGTATTCTACGAAAACTAAAGCGCACGCGGTTCGTGTAATACGGGCAATATTTTCAAGTACAGTTGTTCTGGTACAATTTGAAAGGCCAGACGTGACCAAAAACGTAATCCGGAAGAAGCGATCGGCACGACACTAATTTATTAATTTATGCCAAAGATCCGCATACGCCCAAGCTCGGCAACGGTGACGTAACTGTAAACACAACACTAGTAACGAAAAGAATTGCTTGATCGAAGAAAGCTTTGTTAAACGATCAGCTTGTTTTTTTAACGAATCCAAATATTTTAACCTTTGTGCCTTGGGCCCTTTCGAAACTGGCACTGTATGACACACGTACGAATCGCTATAGATATAGTTTTCTTTTTTGTTTTTAGTCGGAACAAAAGAATAAGTGGTTCCTCTAAATACCGTACTTTATTTACAAGTTCGTGAGCAATTCAAGAGTTTTTGACGATGACTAAGCAGTGACTTCGGTACCGTGACGAAATCATTTGCACCGCAATTTCTAACAGCGTCACCAATTAAATATCTAAATACATATACAGTGCGACTAGATCGTTATTATTAAAACATACTTAGCGCCAGAAAAATGTACGTAAAGATTATACGCTGGCGTCTGTATAGCGTAGGTATTTTTCAAAATGTATATGTATAGGTGTACGTTATTGGTGTGACATTTTTTTTCAACATCTAAAAATGTTTCATTCGAAAATTGTTGTAAAAACAAAAGTCAAGAAATTGTAATTCAATACGTATTTACATTGTATAGACTTATCTAACTAACGAATAGAAATATACATGATATTTCTACAAAATCGTTTAACGTAAAATTCCAATGAAAATAGGAGAAAAACAAGATACGGGAAAACTTTCTGTACCGATATTCTTATTACGGTACAAGTCATTTTTCGTGACAAATGTCATGTATTTGTCAAGTACTAACAAACATTTGTTTGTCGTAGTAAAAGTATTTACATAGTAAAAGAACCGTTCAATGTACTGGTCTTCCGACGTTACCACAATGCCTGACAGATTTTCAGTGGGAAGCGAAATTAGGTCAGCAACAGATAGGGCGTCTTGACAGGTGAACGAAACCATTCAGGGGACACCATGTAGCGGAAATTAAAGTGCTATAAATGAACGCATAACCGCGATGAATACATATATATGTATTTATATGCGATGATGATTTAACCGCGGAAGAAAATGAAAATGATAGAATGCGTTAAATATGGATTTAACGTCGTACGGGTTAGACGAAAAAATGTCTGAGCAATCGTATCACAACAAGGTGATACGAAAAAGCTAATTCATTCGTTCGCACAGTGGGCAGGTTCATCGTTAGAATCGATTCCGCACTCATTCGAAATCATTGTTGAGGTAAAACGATACTGATAAATGACAAACGGTATCTTGCACACTCGAAACACAATCGTAATTTCAACACCGTCACAAGTGATAGCGAAGAAACGTCGAATAACGATTTAAAGCAGAGAGAAATCAAGGAAGCTAAAGGCGGCACACGCCATTTTTATCTCTCAAGTGTTAGCCATCACGAGACAACCGATCGTAAAACACGATTGTTTTCTCGTTTTCCAAATGAAACTGAAGGAAATTGTGTACTAACCTTCTTGTGAGGATACCCTGCGACACCGTTTTATCCCAGTACTTGCATAAAAACCCGTCAATGTACACCAAAAACCACCGATAACGATCCACACAAACCCATCCACACAGCCGACCGGCGCGCAACTGACTGAGCGCATACGGCATCGACCTACGCCAGCGTAGCTAGTCCCAGTACTGACCCACCAATAGGAAACATGCGTAACATTACGAACACCTGCAATAATCCACAGCTGATTAAAATTTGAAATGAAAGCCTTTAACTATTATCAAATTTACCTCTATCCTCGTTAACGTTAAATACGATTGTTTTCAACGAGAAACATTGCTACATTCAACATGATACAATTCCTCGATAATTATTATGTTTGAATAATGATAATGATCCTTCAATTTTTAAGGTTATTGACGAATTTGCAAGTAACGTTGAATTTTATTCCTATACGATGCATTACTACCACCCATTTTCATTAAAATTAAAAATGTACAGTAATTAACTTAAGACATCTATGCATTTTTTATAAATGTATAAATAATAATCTGATCGATGTCGATATTACGATTAATCTATTGTGTAGCAAACAACCCTAAAAGTAATTAATTTTTTATTCTACTAAAAGATTTAATTAATAAAGCATTCACCTTTACGGCTACATTTATATCAGCATAGTAGGTACCTGCCTTATAACAACTGGCGTAGGAATACAAGATAGCTTATGACATCACTAGTCCCGTTTACCCATTTTCTGGACCGGCACGCCCCATCCTCTCTGTTACACATTGTTATGAAAACTTGGAAAAGTTGTTACATTGTGACAAAAAATACAATTTAAATATTCGAAAATCGAAAGAAATTTAGAAGAGTTTGATATAAAAGCAATGAAACGAACGTACATGAAGCACGTAAAAAAAATTTCTTTTTGTTACCAGAAAATAACACAATACCGATATGTTACGACATCTTTATTTTCATATTATTTGACCTTTCTTAAATTCTAAAATTGAAAAATTAACATATGTATATATACACGCGTATATGCAACAAGTATCGTAGCATTTTATGCAGTTTTCTTCCAACAGTCGTTCTCGGTGTTCTTTTGGAGGGAAATAAATTGTAAATTATGTATCATTGTTTGTATTACAAAATTAAACAAAGCTTAAGACTAGATCACAAAAGTTTTAAAAGGAAGGCAAATGGAAAAATGTATACATTTATATACATAACACGAGCATAAATACACTGCAGTATACATTTTAAATTGTTTAATATAAATACATATAAATTATATGTTCATACGAATACATTATTTAAATTATTTCTTCGTTATGCTCTACGATCTTGACACGAATAGTGTACAATGTCGCCGTTCGGATACCTAGCGAATGCGCTGCAAAAAGTAATTTATATTATGATTGAATTTAGCAACAAAGATTAAACTATATTACTTGTAAAATGTATAAATACAAACCTCTGATTGCCAAATCTTTTCTTACATACTGGACATATGTTAAATTCCGTCATAAGAACGTTTTGCGATTCATAATGCATACGTTGCTCCTGCACTTGTAAGTGTTCAGCATAAAGTAAACCTTTCAAAACTTGTATTCGTCTTCTAGCATTCAGTTTCTCCTGCAAACTAACTTCTAAAAAGTGTTTTATTCTTCCTATCGGCACTGTATCTGGTAGAACATCTAATGCCTTCAATGGATTTATTTTTGATGCATGTTTTTCAAGTAATTCAAGTGCCATTTCCAAATCAGGTTGCGCTGTACGTTGAATCTCGGAACTACATCCTAATAAATATTGTTTTAAATATATACTTACTTTTACTATTTAAAAGCGAATTTGGTATTGTACACAATCAACTTTTACCTGTTTTCAAAACACCATCGTTATCAGGTTTCAATAGCTGTTGAATAAGCATTACGTAAACCTTATCTGCATCGTCAGACTGTTTTTGTTTATCTGCAGCTTCTTCATTTCGAAGTAGTAGAAAAATAATTATATAAATTTGTAAGTCAGTCCCTTGAATATACAAATTAATACTTACTTTGATACCTGTTGTATACATTGTGACAATACTCGGTCGCCTTTGGTATATCATTAAGAATACTAATATATATCGATATGGCTTGTTCGTGGCGTCCCAGTCGTCCAAGAATAATTGCACGTTCCTCGAATAAATTATCAAACGGAAAATGTACTAATATCGTCTCTGGAGTGTAATATACAGATTTCTCTAAAAACTGTTGTAATTTTTGTCTAATATGTTGACCTGCTTGTTTTTCAGCTGGTGTAGCATTATCGCTCATAGATGCTAAACACTTCTCTTTATACTGATGTATTAAAACATTATGACACAGTGAATTAGTTTCATTCCAAATATGTACTACATGCTCCAAATACGTTATAACTAAATCTTTGTAACAACGAAGAAGATAATCCAATACTTTTGGTCTTGGCAACTGCTCAACTTCCTATAATTACAAATACACTACTTATGAAATTGATAAAACCATTACCGAAATAAAGATAAAATATTACGATATATCTAACGTTACCTGTATATCTTCCATAAAAATTCGAAGTCCTTGTTCTGGATCTTCATTCAGAACCCAACCAGCAAATTTTAAAATTAAATCCATATGATCTTTGCCAAGATGCTGCAAGTATTGTATTGTTCTCTCGGTGCCCCTGAGACTAGGATCATTTTCTTTAGCATGTTTTTCAAGAAGTTCCAAAGCTTTCCTATGCTGCCCTTTAGTTTGATACAATATGATAAGCTCAGGATACTTTTGATACATTAGTAACGTTTTCTCAGCTTCTGCTAGATGACAATGGTTTAATCTAAGTAACGGCGCTACCAATGCATCAGTCGTCTAAAAAAAAAAAAAAATACTCTCTAATACAAATTCGACTAAAATTATTAAATTCTATCAACTGTAAATTATTACCTGCAAATAACATTTTAACAGAGTCGTGTCTATAATTTTTAAAAGCTGTTCGGTAGCTACTGCTGTCATACTTTTTTCTGCTTTTGTATCATTCACTAACTGAAATCTAACTTCGGTAAGAAAAACTATTAATGCGCGCAAACCTTTTTCTAAATCATGATCTTGTAGTTTTGACAAACTGGCTGTTGAATCATTGAGTTCAGGATTATTGCTTGATAGTGTAACTAAATCAGGAAACAATCTAATCACTTCATATGGATCTGTTCCTAACTTTAAAAATAAATCCATTGCCTCTTGAAATCTTTTGTTACTAAAAAGGTAATGTGCGTACAATGTCTGTATTTTATATGTCTGTTTAATTTTTTCTTCTTCGGTTATATCCAATAAACTCTGTAATAATACACGAAATATTTTAATTGCTGTAATGTATCTACAATTCCATTTGATAATATTAAATAAATAAAAATATCGTTTACGTACAGTTAGTTTCAGCGCGAGCTGAAACTGGTTTTGTTCAAGTAATGTTCTAATTTGTAGTGTTACATCGACTGCTCTGACACACCAGATGTGACTAATAGACGCTACAAAAATCTTTCCTTGTTTACATCTATATATAAGTCTAGCTTTGTTCAAGTCTTTTATCGTTTGAATGTGTATGCAACCTTCTATAGTATATACTTCTAATGTGTCATGTACAATTCCAAGTAGATAAGGATCATCCCATGCTGAAATAATGAATGTGATATTAAAATATAATAACTAGAAATATCAAATAGTCATTCTAAATTGTGTACCTATTGCACTTGGTGTATCGGACCATTTAACTGGATTATGTTGAACCAATTCACCTTTTGTATCCATAACAAATGATTGAGAATCTTTGCCTAATACGAAAGAATCATCAGACAATTTTGTAATACTTGGTTCAGGAGACTTTCCAGTTGGAAATAATTCTTTGGGCTTTTCATCCATGGTCAAAATTGTATAAGACAAACCACGGAAACCCAAAATCAGTGATTCACCACACCTATGTTATAATTAAGGCAAATCTTATAATTCTACAGAACTAAATTACTTATTTTGTAACATACATGCAATATACTATACCAAGCTAATTCTCGTGGTATATCTGGTACAGATAGCTCAAACTTTTTCAATTCCTCAAATTTTTTTCCTATGGAACAGTAGAACTGTAGCTTACGTTTTACAGCAACACATAAGTGCACAACTGTATTTTTATTACTAGTTGAACACTCTGTTGATTGTATTGCTAAAGTAAATAATGTAGCACCACGAGTTTTTGGTAGTTGGTAAATTTGTTGAAAATTTGGAGAATTCAAATCATGAACACACACTATATTATCTATAAAAGAAATAATAAGTTAGTTTGGATCCCATATAATTCAAAACACAAAGAAACAAATACCTGTTAATATTATCAATAAATTATATTCTGGTACAACATCTATCTGTGTGATCCGTTTTTTATTAAAATTTTTACTATGACGTAATAATTCTAATTTATGACTTTCATCTGATACAGATGGAACGTTATACATCAGGAGATGACCCTCTCTTGTACCGATTAACAAATTGTCATCTGAAATAATTCATTCCTATTCACTTTACTTCATTTATATGTATATAAAATTAAATAAAAAATCAAGTAACAGTATTAATTAGTCTAAATGATTAAAGATTGACTGTCTTAGAAAGCTAAGTCAATCGACTAATTAAAAGCTTTTCATATAAAGGTTATGAGTTACCTACCATACGCAGCCATAGACTCTATTTGAACAGAAATATTTAATATCGATGTTTCTTTGTAAGCGTCGTGCATTTTCGTGTATTAAATATAATTCCTCTACTGGTTTTCAAAGTATTAAATCAAAAGGTTAAAAACCATTGATACACTATCACTTGTCACTGGTTATTATTTGCGTGTTTGACAACCAAGTACATAAAGTGTGTTCAAATAAACTGAAAGTATCATATCGATTGTTTGTTCATACATCCTACGTATGATATGGACATTTACGAAAGTTCTAGTATTTACTTTTTTATCATAATTTCTAAGATCTTTATTAATTAAACAAAAAATGCAAACGCAAATGTTGAGACTTTTCACTAGAAAAACCCTTACTATTACTAGATTATAATGATACCTAAAAAATAATGATAACAATGACCATAAATAGATACTATGTACAAAGTATGTAAATGTTTATATTAGTTTAGTACGTATAACACGTATGATTTAAGATACGAAATAGTAAAAGATATTTCAAATTTATTGGCGCCCTTATCAGGAACATTTTCTATATAGTTGGCACTTTTGCTATTGAAAGATGCTTATATTTTCTTTTGCTGATTAATACGTAACAAAAATGTCAAATTCACTTGTGAATAAAGGGCTTGAATTACTAGGTTATGAAAAGAGTTTAAAACAGGGTTTGTATCAAATTCATATAGGTTATAGATTTGTGTTTAGCTGTTAACTTCACAAGTAATGCAAGCTTTCTATTTTGTAGAGAAAAAGAAGAGGAAACACGTAAAATATAAGGGTACATTGGACTTGATTCCCCCAAAACATAGAGTATTATCAAAAAATGACAAAACAGGTACATATACGTGTTATTTGAAGTCACACAATACTTGTAGTAGGCTGTTTATCAGTCGGTAAAAGTTATACATTTTTCTCGTAGATCTAGGCACAATACTTGGACGATCAAGTAAAGTGACTGTTTATGAAACCAAAAAACGATTAGAGGCAGAAAAGGATCCTACAGATGAGAATGTGCAAGGGCTTCTTATGCTTAGCAGCAATCGCATCAATCCAGACACAGCAAACAAGGTACTCTTAAACATTTAGAATAGCTTTTTCAAGAAATTATAAATGTTGTTAATTTGATTATAGTTATTGAATCGAGCAATAAAGAAAAAATATATTCCAAAGAAAGAAAAACCTAAGGAACCTGAAACTACTGTATTCACTGAAGAAGATTTCAAGAAGTTTGAACAAGAATATGTGGATCAATAATTTGTGATGTATCATTCTTATATTTTTTAACTTACTTAGAGAATTATTACATTCATTCAAGTATTTTCTATTCTATGCATAAAACAAGTGCACATGGATGTACAAAACATTTAATTACATTCTGTATAAAAAGCACCATTTCTTTCTTAACATACATAAAAACAATATTTCAATGATTTGACATATTCATATAAATGTTAAATTTCAATGTATTCTAAATTGAAATTATAAAATGTTCAATAGTGATTGTGAAAAAGGTAAAGTAATATTAATAGTGACGTTAGTTTCATTTTTTTATTATACTGTATGGGTGATTGGTCTACCATTTATTGATGATAATAGAATACGATCACTTTTTGGTTCTCAGAATGTAGCCTTAATGATACCTGCTATTTTAGGTTTATGTTTCATTGGTGGATTAGTATTCTTCACTATTTATCATGTCAAGCCATATTTTTCATATGATAAATTAAATAAATTTCATGAATCATAGATTCTATATGAAAATACAAATAGATGAATTTCAATTTATCATTCAGTCAATAAATAGACAGTGACTTGAAAGATGAGTTATATAACTATATTACATCACTTACATTACCTCATTAAAGTCCAGATTACTCCATTTTTATCAACTATGTAAGAGAAAGAAAATTAATAATAAGCAGCTTGAAATGTTTCCAAAAAAATTGATTGTAATTGGTCTTTCTGGTGTAACTTGTGGTGGAAAATCTACTTTGACTAAGAGACTTCATAAGGAATTAAAAAATTCAGTTACAATAAATCAAGATGACTATTTTTTGCCAATAGATGATCCACGTCATATAAAAATAGTGGAACTCGATCAACTGAACTTCGAAGTTATAACTAGCATAGATATGGATAAAATGCAATCAGATGTTTTAAAATTAATTGAATCATTGCCGAACAAAAGTAATTTCGCAGAAACGAACGAGAAGAACGTTCTAATACTCGATGGTTTTTTACTTTTTAAGTGTAAGGTTATTTCCGATTTATGCGATAGAAAATATTTTTTAACCTTAAATAAAGAAGAATGCCAAAAAAGAAGGGTGGAAAGAATTTATGATCCCCCAGATGGTCCCGGGTACTTTGAAAAGGCTGTATGGCCAGAATATTTGAAACATATGGATGAATTAATGAAAGACAAAGATTTATACAAGACGATAACATTCATTGATGGATCGAGAAATAAAGAAGAAATATATCAAATGGTTTTTGCAGAAATAAAAAAATTGTTATCTTAAAATTTTCATCATGTCATTATTACACATGAAAGAAAAACACTTAAAACTAAAAATAAATATACACCATGAACTGGTCTGGATATTTATGTAGCATTCAGTGAAGACAAAGTGATGTAATAAACAGTAGCTATATAAAGAAATATTTCCTATACATTCCAGATTACTTGATACAAGATGTAAATAAAATTATGAAATATCCTTTCTAATAACCTAAATCATTTTTATGTTACTTTGTTAAGTTTAGAATAAAACAATTGCAATAGCACATTCATCTAGTATATTAAATGTTTATATCAATGGATCACTTCAGATTTTATTGTAAAAAGCGTACTTCACTTACCTGGCACAATTGTGCATTGAGCGTTTTTTTCATGAATTGTAATTATATCTGTGTTCATCACTTTTGTTTCTGTGACAAATATATGTACATATATCATTGTTGCATTATGTGTAACGAACTTGATTTTATGAACTCCTATGAAAATGCCCTTGTATGAATTGATGTAGCATAATTATTTTTTGTTAAAAATGTGATAATCTTGTAGTTAAGAACTACAATATTCTAACTACACCATGTAAAATTTCCTTTTGCTTTCATATTATTTGTAAAGCCTGCTTCAGATGTTGAGTAATTATCGAGGAAATAATTTTAAATTTCATTCTGTATGCATAATATATTTTGTACAAAAATTAGTTATATAAGGCTTAGGAAATAAAGTATACTTGAGTTGGTAACTCCTTCACAGACACGTGTTATAATTTACAATTTATTGTTCAGCCTTTGGTTTCAGAGATTCAGAACAAGCTTACGACTTATTATAGAAGTAACTTTTTTTAATTTTTAATATTTTTTTGCATTATTTTTCGTATGAATGCCAGAGTAGTTTCGTCAAAAATTGTGGATTTTCATCTTCATCCAAAACAGGCTTATAAATATTTAAGTCTTGGCTTTTAACAAGATTTTCTCCATTTGTTTTCTGTTTTTTAATAAAGATAACGCACAACGACGTGTATATGTTACATGGAATAGGCGTTATGTTTAGATTGACCTTGCACATTTGTAACATTTGTTGGAGCAGGTCCAGCTGTCTGATCATCTTGATCATTTTGCCCGCATGCTTTTCGAACATATTGTGGTGTGAGAACAACTTCTTCTTCCATTTCAAGTACTCGCTTATCTAATTCCATACATGTCGCCATCTCCTTCTCTAGGTTTGCCAACATTTGCGGTGAATTATATTTTTCTGGATCATCATGAAACACTACCATACCATCCTTTTGATTAATTGTTGCAAAAATCTCTCCATCTTCGATCTAAATATATAATATATCCGTCATTAATTAATGTTCTAGATGCATCATATTATATTTACAAAAAAAAATGTATTTACCATGTTTAATATGTATCTTTCTGCATCAGCAGGTCCAGCGAGTTGAACTCTGCTTGCCACATCACTTAAACTAAGCGTCAAAAAAGTCTTTGTCAACCTTTGTATATTTTTCTTGTACAAATAGCTGAGCACTTGTTTTACAAGTCCCATATTGTGATCTCTTGTAAAAAGTTGTTGATATTTGGTGATAACCTTCTGTACTTCTTCGCAGCTATTCATTAGATAAGCTGTGGCCAGTTCTTGATATTGTTGACTCAGAGGCTTCATGTACCTATTGACCACTTGACTCGTGTACCTAGGTAGGTTTAGAACTTTCCCATGCATTATTAAAGAGACCAGGATGTACTTTTTGTAGGCCTCTAACATAATGTAACTAACTGCCATTGCAGGTGTTGTAACACATACTTCAAAAAAGTATAATGCTCTATTATAGTTCTTCAGTGCTGTGTATATTATACCACCATAATAATAATAAAGCAAAAAGTATTTTGAATCAAATTGCCCTCCTTCTTGACTGATGCCCGTAATATCTATGTCAAGAAATTCAAGAGAAGGTTTGAAACATTTAGACAAAAGACATAGTTGGCAGAGATCAGCATGTATAGAAGTTAGTTGGCTACCAAAAAGTTGAATTTTACGTATTGCACGACACAATAATTCAATACCACGCAAAGGTATTTGCAATTCAACTAATTTTTGTGTAAATAAATGACATAATTCTGCATCTATAACATAAATTATAAGCAAAATAAGGTTATCAGTGTTTAAAAAAGATTTAAATTTTTCTTTAGGAAAGAACAGATGAAAACTTACATGTATCAGGAGCAAATCTAACTTGCTCTCCGTTACAACCAATGATAAATTCTTGAACCTGATTAAATAATGGTTTGTAAGTGTCTGCAGTATTCGCACCACTAGGATTAGACAGTGAAAATTTCACACACAGCACTGCCAAGATACCTAAAGAATGTTGTTGCAGATCTAACGTTTCCAGAACGTTATCTAGGTGCTGTCCATTTTTTATTAACACATCTGTGCTTTTACTTATTATTTCACATAGTTCTCGAAAATTACCTTTAAAGAATAATATATTTATATTATACATGTACAACACAAATACTTATTAAACAGAAACAAATACATTCTTCCTTATATGTCCAATATCAGCATTTCGCGTTTAAGTACTACAAAGTGAAATATTGATATACGTGTTTAGAATTTGGTCAGACATATAGGCCTAATGTAGAAATCGGATCTCCGAAGGATATGAATGAGATTAATTAAAAGGATTATTTAATACTATACGAAACAGATATTACAAACGCGTGTATTAATTTTCTGATAAAGAGGCTATTTCATAGGAATGCAAAAGATTTTAATAAAGAATTATTTGCGAATTATTGCCCTTATAGGTTATGTTCAGAAGAATACAGGGAAGGTTTAAACATCTGTCGCACCTTGTTTCGAAAGCGTCCGCACATTATTTACAAACTGCTCCAATGCCGACGCCATTACTGCGAATGCTTTCTTCTCATCACCACCTTTGATCGGTGGTGAACCGTATTTACAGAAATTATTTTCGCGAACAAACGATCACCTAGGATGACGTTTTGAAACAGACAACCGGAACGCTCCGAAGCATGTTACAAGAATAGCTGGTTGCATCGAACTCCCTCTTGTATGCTGCAACCAACATGCAATTTGAATCAAAATCTATTCAATTGAATTTAGTCTTTTTATAAACTTAATTAAGTCCCCTTGTATTTCGTCAGCGATGCAAGTTATCAATACGAGCGTTAATATTTTCGTTATACTTTTTTTATGCAACGTGCGTTTAGCAGCGAACTAATTTAAGTTCTCGAATAAGAGTTACATTTATGTTTATCTTAATCTTACATTATTCAATATGTTTATAATAACTATACATAATACGTCGACATCGATACAAGGAAGAGGATATTTATACTGTTACCGAGAGTAATAAAGAACTCCGTGGTTGCTAGGATATTAACGATTGTTACGATTCTGATAATAAACAAAACCAAGTGCTTTTTCCTACTATCGTTCAACATATTGTTGAGAAAGTACTTTATTCATAGATCGAAAACAAAGTATTTTCGTAATGTCGAGTGCAACATACGATGAGCTTTGGAAAAACGCACAAACCATTTTAGAGGAACTTGTTCAAACAGACACGAGTCTGCAAAACGCCAGGCCGCAAAAGGATCGTATACAGGCTCGTAATATAATCTCAGAATTATACGTGAAGTATATCATTGTCTCTAATAAGTTAGAACTGTGTTACGACCAAGTAATACAGCCGCAAAAGCGAGTATTATTAAGAAAATTATTAGATTCATGCGTTGGCAGAATCTTGGAGTTGAAACACGAGTTGGTCGAGATAGATCTTTCGGAGTATAGTTATTTCGATGATATTTTGATAAAGTTAAATATCACTCCACAAGAAATTGAGATTCAACTACCGAGATATTTTAGACGCGAGCATTCAAAAGAAATTGAAGAAAGACGACAATTTATAGAAAATATTTTAAGAAATACAGGGGTTTTAGACGAGGTGATATTATCGAAAAGTATCACCGAATCTGAAGCGATAAGGCTTATACAGGTATATATAGATTTTTCAGACAAAAAATTAAAGATAAAAAAATGGAATAATATTTATTCGAAATTTGCTGATAAAATAAAGCTAAGTAATGCATGTACGTCTATAAATAATTATTATACATATATAATAACAAGATTTGTAATCGAAATGATTTAGGCTCACGAGCGTGCAAGACAAGGTCGTCTAAGATTTCAGTTTATAAAAGAAATTCGTAAAATGAAAGAAAAATCGGGAATTAAAGTGGAGATGGAGGTAAAAGATAAATCGACCGAAGGAGCAGCTGCAATAAAAATTCAAAAAATTTGGAGAGGGTATAGTACTAGACGAAAAATACGAAAAAGACGCCTCGATGAAATGTTGTTGATCGGTAATTATTGTCTATGACAACAAATTGTAATATAAAAGAATAACAGTAAATATATTGAAACATACTTTCGAAGGTATGCTTCAACCAAGTCAAGAAGTTACTGAAAATGCTAGACAGGCTGAAAAAGTTCGACAAGAGAGATACGAGAAACAAATGAAATACCAAGAACAATACGAAACTATGATGATTGAGACTAAGGAGAGAATACGTAACGAAAAAAGTGCTATAATGGAGGAAAATATAAGAAGTGAAATTCGAAATTGGGTAAAAAATTGTTTTCAAGAAACGGGAAAAATTCCTGATTTGCCATCTGCTGAGAGTGGTGGATCCAGGATCATATTTAGTAGACAGGTAATATTTACATTTCTACAATAAATACAAAAACAAGGCAGCCACGTTGTTTTTCCATTTAGGGTACCGAGAGTACCATAAGCAAATCTACAGCAGTATCGTCAAAGGAGTCCAAGAAATCGAAAAAAGCAAAATCAAAGAAAAACAGTGAAACTGAGCAATCAGAAGAAGAAGCAGAGCAAGGTTTTAAATTAATTTCATCAAACTTTTTATCAGAACTGATACATGCTAATCAAAAGTACCAGGAAGTATGGAAAAATAAAGACGAATCCATGAATGCTGAACAATTACCATACATAAGTATGATAAAAAGTGAAAAAACTAAGGAAGTTGAACATGATGTAAGAATTGCAGTAGACCAAGCACTCAGAGGTAAACTTTTTGTAGAATTTTAATAATTAAATAATGCATAAAGTTATGGTTATCTGTTTTTTTCTTACTTGATGTATACGATTGATAAATTGTTAATAATATTGAAACCCTATAATTAGCCGATATAGAAGCCCTTCAAAGTGCATTAGATAGGGATAGAGGGTTTAAAGGAAAACGTGCAAAAAAAACACAGAAACGAATTCGTCGTAGTGGGAAAAAGAACAAGAAAAGGAAAGATAAAGATTTAACTCCTGATAGAACAATGGAATCTTTATTGGAAGAATTAGTGACAGAAGGCATTGTTAAACTTCATAGAGAAATTCCACTCCATGACTTTAAAGGCGAAAAATCTTTTGCTAATTACAGTTTAAGAGAAAAGGGAAAAGATCCTTTACCAGCACTTGGTTAAGTTACACAAACAAATTATTATATTTTATAGTTTATGTTTCTATACTAATTTTTTAATTTGTCAAAATTATTTATCATAATAGGAGACATAAGGCAATTAATAGCCGAATATTGTATTCTCCCTTTGGGAAACAGTACTCTTAGAGAACTTACACCGCTAGTAAGATCGGTATTGATAGCTGGACCACATGGTAGTGGTAAAAAAATGTTAGTAAATGCAATTTGTACAGAACTTGGTGCTACTTTATTTGATATTACGCCTGCTAATATCGTTGGAAAATATCCTGGAAAGTCAGGGTTAATCATGCTTATTCACTTAGTATCAAAGGTATTCTAAAAATGATAAAAGGAATAAAATAAATGACATCTAATTATTGATTTCAAAGTAATTATATTGATTTTCAAAGTGTAATAAAAATTTTATATTTTTTCAATTTTTTATCAAGATGTCGCGTTTATTGCAACCATCAGTCATATTTATGGATTGTGCTGAAAAACCATTTGTCAAGAAAGTTCCAAAAGCAGATAAAACCGATCCAAAACGTTTGAAGAAAGATCTCCCTAAATTAGTCAAGAATATAACAAATGAAGACAGGGTGATTCTTATTGGAACTTCAAACTCTCCTTGGGATGGAGATCAAAAGCTTTTATATCAGACTTATGATAAGGTCATATACGTTCCCCGGCCAGATTATGGAACTATGTCTATTGTGTGGAAAGATTTATTATATAAAGTTAGATTTTATTTATTCGTAAATTATATCGTATTTTTAACCTTGTGTATATCGTATATCAGAAAAATTATTTTTTCTTTTTTATATATATTTATAGTATTCTGGAATTAGTAGACAATTCGATACATCCGCTATGGCTAAAATTTGCGATGGCTTTACTATCGGAACTGTATTGACATCAATTAATGAGGTATCGATAGAGAAATCATCGCGTTAATACCGTCGCTAATTTACATCTTTACTCGCGTCTCAGTATTTTATACTCGCACATCTTGATATACAGGTAATGACCACAAAACGAATGGTACAGTTAAGAACTCATCCTTTAACACACGGTGAATTAATAAATGCGCTGAGCACTAAAGACCCGGTTTATCGCGAAGAAGAGGATGCATTTCTAAGTAGCATATCAATAATAATTGATGTTAATAAAGTAATTATATTGATCATTAATCGCAAACTTCCAGTAATGTTGTATTACAGCCTGGCTGGGAAAAACACCAATACATCGTAAAAAACAACGTATGCTCGAACTGGAACGTCAGAAACAAGAGGAAGAAGATGAAAAACAAAACAGAAAAAGCAAGAAGAAATCTTCGTAAGGAAGTCACCTTGCACGATTGATCGAGCTAATTGTATAATTTTTTTTATTATGCATAAATTATTATAAGATATTTACATTTTATTAATTTTGCAATTCGTCATACAAAAATTTAAATTAGCATCGTGTTACGTATATATATAATCATAACGTGATTATGCATAAACATCTATATCCGTAATAGTGATACGATTACGAGTTTTTGATAGTAGATGAAGAAATCGATTACAATCAGATTCAAATAAAGAAAAAGAGAGAAATCCAATTTCCTTTTTCTATTTTCATACTAATTCTGAAATTTTCGTCGACACTTTTGAATGTAGCTTAAATGTTATATTTTTATTCATACAGAGTATCGTTATAAACAGCTGTGATCTTCCACTTTCATTTACATATTTTATTTGCGATTAACTAAAAATATAACGTGGCCCACTGGGAGATCATATGGTCCTCGTTGAGAACCACTGATTTACACGATTTTCTTTACCGATTACCTGACTACTCGCTATCGCGTACAAGAGTTCTTGCAGAAATGTATGTAAAATCGATTTACGTAAGTTAAAGTAAACACAGTAGTATGACGACTGTGTACGTTCAAGATCAAAGTTCTTAGTATCGGAAAAAGTGTCTTTTGTTTGATCGAAAACCACGTTTACGGATGACACGAGAGGAGTCAAGTAAAAAAAAATCATGTGCTTCTGTTATCTGTCTCACTCACTCGCTCACTGCCGATTATAAAACGTAATGAAAATTTTTCATTTCTTGCTAGTGAGATACTTCTTTGGAAGCTACCAAATCGAATTACGTTTAATACGATTTTGTAATTTTAATATCAACGTTTCGTATGATTACAATACACTTGAGATATAGCGATTAAAATAGCATGTGTCCCGATAGTTAATCGATAAGATACCTGAATTTAAATTTTAATACACTTTTACCGATTTCCCAATCAGTTTATGGAATTTTGATAATTTGATAATTTAATGTAATTAAACGAATACATATGTTGTGATTACAGAAGTGCCAGACAGCAATAGATACCGATCTTTAGCCACGTGAGCGCGAGTTAGGGCAGGCACAATTTCAACTCGGCTTGTTTTTATTCATGAACCTCCCTTTGTAAGAGAGATAAGTAGGATGCCTCCGTTAGCTTTGCATCGGGGCACAAAAGTCTCGTTAAGTCTAAAGTTACACACGTTATATGTTTCTTTCTTCGGTTCACGTGATAGAGCATACAACCAACAGGCTCGTAGTAAGTTAGTGGCAAAGACCTCTTTAAAGTACTACCGGATAGATATAGTACTTTTCTTTCATAAAATATACGTACATATACGTAGATATATGGATATACATATATACAAGCGCAGGTAAACAGAACCACACGACTACGACAGTAATCGATTGGTCTTTCCGTATTCTGATCACGCAGCGATATATTCCGATCACGCGTAGATATATTTTAAAATTAATGACTCGCTATCCAAGTTCAACATCGTCCTTAATAAGAAAAATAAGATAAGTTCTAACTGTTGCAATAGATATTCCAGAAATTCTGAATCGAATCGCACGATTATCCTGTCGTACTCTTACGTGCTAGTGACATTACGGTCAACATAAGGATATCAAAAAATCGATATTCAAATGCTAATGAAACATAATCGATTTAGTAATTTGTAAATGCGTAGTTCAAATGATCTGATTTAGACTTTTCGGTAAACTTTGATCGATGCGAAAAGATTGAAAAAAAACAAGAAAAGAAAAGAAGAAAATTTAACAGACCTTGATGTATTAGAAATATTGACGAAATCCGCTAGCGTAAGGCTACGTTACTGTCTCAGGGGTATCGATCTCTCGCGACGTTCGAGCGTGTTACAGGCGACGAACTATTCCACGCCAGTTATCGTTACCGATAATGAGAAAATTATGTAAAAACAAAAACGCGGAAGATCGACATGTGACAACTGCATGGCCACGAATCGATCTGGACATCGGATTACATGGATGTTGAATAGCCTGTCGGCTAAACGAGTAGCTACGTTTCAACAGAAAAGTGGAATATTCGTAACAGAAGACGAGAACGCCGGTCCAACCTAATGCGCTTGCGTACCGGAAACTTGAACTCCTATTGGTCGACTCCACATGGTCTGATGTCAGACCACATGGTCTGTCCAATTCAATAATAACGAGATGCTCACGAGCTAGACACTAGCCAGTTCTCTGCGACGTGCTCGCGACGTTGGTGATGGTTATTGACGATAAGAAACCGCACGTCGCGCCTAAAGTCACTGAACAGCAGAACCATTTTCCAGTTTATAATATTCGATACATTCCATTGTTTCTTCAGTACTAAGAACGCAGGCCGGTGGACACGATCTACTCTATTCATTGCAAACAAATTTCGTTGTGTATAATCATCGGATCCCGAGGATCCTCGAGCGAAAGGAAGGACAAATTTGCAACGTTTGCCAGGATTATATCCACGTGTGAAGTGAGTTATTATACGATGTTTCATTTCTAATAGAAATACACCGATTTCCTCGATTTGGTTATGTTAGCAAATTTTTGTTACACGCAACCGAACGTGGTATAGAATGATTGATTAATTCCTTGCTTGTTGGACATTTCATTTTTCAAATGGAAGATATTACCTCGTTATTTGTACGAATAAATCCGTTCGATATTTAGTTTGCTTAAACTGTTATACATATCGTAAAGGTGTGTACGATAAATATTTTGAGAAATATTCATTTTTTTCACGAAATTCAATTAATTTTGTAGATTAAATGTATACAAGTGTGTGGATCAAATTCTTTCGTTTTTACGACCGTACGTGTGTTTATTAGTTCTATGGCACGCTATAAATGGCTTTCCTTGAATTACCACTAACCACTAGAGTCTTTAAGATCGATTGTCTCATTCGCCACATAGTGCTGATATTAAATATATCTATAAATCTTTCTTAAGGTATCAAGTACATTGCAGCGTACAACTTCACAGTTAGTTGTTTCGATGTCTCACATATCGTGTACCGTAAACACCCTGTTTATCGCGGTCGAATTGCTTGGAAAACGATTTCCGGTGCTCGTGCTTCTCGTACAAGGATCAGTGGCTGGAAAAATAGAATTTTTACGGCTTAACTCTGATTCGTACTGTCATAGTGCCACACTATAATAAATCTAATGATAGCGAAGCCTACCTTGAAACTACAGTTACGAAAGCGTGCAATATCATTTCTAAAAGCGAAAATTAATAACGTGAAAGTTTGACTGGGAAGCAAACAAGCAATTTATTCTCGGATCACAATAACTGCCACGTATAACCTCCGATAGAATACGTTATTTTCATAGTTACGAGATACCGTCAAACGTGTCGCACGTCATAAAATATTATGCGAAAAATATATTTCTTTAATGTAAAACAGCGCGTGTGCAATTATCAAAAATGTTTCAAGTCTGACTTGTGTAAACTTTTACTACTGCGTCGCGCTCACGACGTGTGTGCTATACTTGCCTGCAGTGGATTATCTACGTCGTTTCAAACATACGATATTGACTAATTACTATTCCTTTACGAAACGTGAACATCCATCTCGTACAAATATTAGCAATTATAAATCGTACAATACGAATACAAATTCTTAATCATTTTTCATATTTCAAATATTATGTGTATACACGTATATGCTGTTGATTAGTTGACTTGAAAGTAAAAAACACTAATCGTAAAGATGCTTAATGCAAATTTCTATTAGTTTTTCTCTATAAACATTTGCTAATTCATCTTTGATTCACTTATGGATTCAGCGAAAATAATACTGTGTAATTCGAATGTCTGATACACGCCATTGATCGAAGAGCAATTAATTTTACGAATGAATTAAATAATTTTTCAAATCATTCGATTCCTTCGTCGTGTTTGTTGAGTCAATCGTGTGTTACCACAGACTGGTAATTGAAGCAAATCGAATCTTCTCACTCAACGCGGAAATCTGAAATGATTTTTTCATTAATCCTTTGATTATCGTTAAATTTTATTAGATTAAAAGGGATCGTATCAGTTTGGAAATTGTGTGAAATTTGTTTCCTAAACTAAACAATTATTAGATATTTTACTTGGCTTTATTGCGAAAATTCATTAAGGTTGTAACAAATAATTGTTCGCAAAACTTATTTTAACAAGTACTACTTTGGAAGATTCAATAAGCTATATCGAACGATCATCGCAATTTTGATTCTATGCGCATGTATGTCGCGCAACACGTGATCGGCTGGTGAACTAGGCAATGTGCTGAATGGCCAGTTTAGTCTCTTGCCACATTTTTTTTATCTCATAGATTTATTTTAGGAATAATTCCATAATGTATGGAACGCGATATAAATGATATCTTCCCCATTTTATACATATGTGTTTGATATCTGTATTACAAAGGTTAATCGCATTATAGTCATATCAGAAATTCTATCAAATATAATTTGTTTCTCACTTTCTTTTACTTTCGTGTGGCAATTTTGCTCGTACGTTGCTTAATCGTATTCGATAGTTGGCGGAAGTGTAGTTCACATACAATGAATTATGCTTGTCTCATTGTATTTACAACGAATAACAAATCTGGAATAGCGCATTGGTAATATGTGCCACCTGATCTGCAAACAATAACCGTAAAAGTATCTTACATATTTTAATGTAATCGCGTTATAATTTTCAATACTCATTCGGTGAAATACGAAACACGTGTTAGCAATTTGTAACACGAATTTCTTGTTAATGCATATATTTGTATTAATTACTGGCTTTATTAAAATCGCGACCAGGTCTTGTTACGCTCGTAATATAATCGATAATTAAAACAAGTATTCTTAATCTGAATGTTATGTAAACACGAGACAGACATTTTATCGAGTATTATAGCAGACCTTTATATTATCTAATGGATTGTATCTATTCGCGCAGGTTCCTTTATCGCATCGTTTCTACGTTACGAACGTCGAAATGACCGATTTAACGGAACTATCGCACTCGATAAACTTTGCGTATTTCAAGGCTAGTCGTGTTTACCTTAATACCGCAACGATTTACCTGTGTAGGCTCGTCGAATATAACAGAAAATTGTTCGAAAATTTATAGTATGTTTACAACTATGAATGTATTCGGTATCTTAAGTTGAAACTATTCAATTACGGCTAAACAAATTTAAAAAAAAAAAGAAAAAAGAAATAAAACTTGATAAGTAACGATTTTTCCGTCTGACATTATCGTATGTACATAACTAACATGGCTGACAAATAGTATACTTGTCAGAATAGATACATGTTTCTCCTTCTGACAAGCACAGAAAATATGATATAATATTACATTAAAAGTTTATTGATTTTATGAACTTCGTAATAGTAAAAGTTAATTAATTCAAATTAAGAGCATAATAATAAAAATATTAGTATTATTATTATTGTTATTGCTCGGATAACAATTTCGGTAGAAGTTCTTACGAAGATTTTTACGATACAAATAGTCGATAAATATTAAGTAATACGAGTGTAAAATATTCGATTACAGCGAATACACTTAAGCGACGTAATGAATATGTATTATTATCTATATTTGAAATTCTCGTGCGAACCGTGACCACAGTTGAGTGTTACATCAGAACTTTTCAATTTACATAAAAAAATTGCAAAGTACTAAATATGACCTTTTCCTACTCTTTTATCTTGATCGCTTTGCTTCTAAAAAGACGTAGTAAACGCAAACGTTGAGACGCGAGCATACTTCAACAACGCAAATGACTTTACACGGAGAAAATAGTAATCGGTTAAGTCGATGAATAAATAGTTACACGTATCTTTGTGAACACTTTTGTTCTTCGCGTCAAATTATAATTGATTGGATATGGTGTCGTTATACATATAAATTAATTACGAGTGTCGTTCGTTATCTTAAAAAAGGATAAGATAGGAAAGCTACAGACGAATAAAAGTAATAGTCACTTAATTTAACCAATTATCATTCCTTACTTATATCTAGAGCTTCGATAGCTATACATACTATATAATCACTCGGTTTCCAAGGGTAACTAATTATCATATTTTGGTCCATGTGTCTTTCCTGTAAATACTAATTAGATGTATTTAATAATCGAACTATGATACAGGTACACGGGTTCTGAACGACATCTAATGAGATCATAATTTGTTAATTTATCTGTAATTTAACTCGTTTCTCTCGCGGGTGTCCAGCGTATTCTCGTGTATCACGCGATACCTTGTGCTTTGACCGTGAACTTGCGCGGCGCAATCGTAACATTCATAACTGTCATTTTAACACTACTGCACGCGAGATGGTATATAAAATAGCGAATATTATAATACGATCGTAATTATTTATAAGATGACGTTAACGAATCGTAACATTTATCAATAGAGTATGTTAATAAATGCTGCGATGTATATGTATGGATAAGACCATGTATACGGAATATCCTTTGAGGTCAGGACACTTTAAATCACATGCTCGCTATTGCGATTTCATGAAATATTCGTGTAACCCCGAATGCATAAGGAAATCCAAATCCTATCAATTATTCAGCAACTAAAACTTTTTCCAACGTTTGCATTTCATGATTCATATGCGCTGACGTCTACGACTCATTATGTCACGTGTGCATTTAATTACTCTCAAAATAATTTATTGTACCACTATATTCATCAAAATTTGCTTTGAGAGAATCTTTTTGCTTTCATATTAATCGTTAATATTCTTTTTTTTTTTTTTTTTTTTGTAAGAATTTGTAATTAACATTCTCTCGAACTTTTTTGTTTCTGTTTGATCGGTAGTCTGTTTTACCAACATATTTTCCCATTTTGAATCGCACGTTGCAAAAGTAATGTAAGAAAACACACAGATACTACTATTGCGCAAGTCCATTTATATATTTTTTTAAGCAAAGATTATCATAGGTGAAAATGTAAACTAAATTGATTTAGTCCTTAGCGAATTCAATTGAAATCATTCAATCGGTCGTTTGACCGAGAAGCGGAGATAGTTATTGCAGTAATCTAATGCAATTGTCGAGACGTCTGAGTAGACTAACAGTGCAGCAAACACTGTCGACCTGCATATGAAAAATGTT